CTGCCGGGCTCAGGCGATCCTTCCGCCCAGCCTTCCCAGTAGCCGGAACTACAGGCGTGCGCCACCATGCCCGGCTAATTTTCTGATTATTGCAGAGATGAGGTCTCGCCAAGTTGCCCAGGCGGGTCTCGGACCCGCGGACTCAGCCCATCCTCTGGCCTCAGCCTCCCAAAGTGCTGGGATTATAGACGTGAGGACCAGGGGCGGGGTCACAGCGCAGGGAACAGGGAACCGAGGCGCGGCCGGCCTGCCCGGTGGGCTGGAGTCCCCCGTCCCTGGGATGACGCCCCCCCACGACCCCCGACAGGTTCTCTGTGATCACCCCCAACGTCCTGTGGCTGGAGAGCGAGGAGACCGTGGTGCTGGAGGCCCACGGAGTGAAAGAGGACGTTCCGGTCTCGGTCACTGTCCACGACTTCCCGGGCAAGACGCAAGTGCTGTCCAGCGAGAAGACCACGCTGACCGCCGCCACTGGCCACCTGGGCAACGTCACCATCAGGGTGGGCGCAGACGGGAGCCGGCCCGTGACACCCACGTTGAAGCCCCGCCCTCCCCGAGTCCCCTCTCCTTCGAAGCTCCGCCCTTCCCTTGGAAGCCCCGCCCTTCCCTGTGTCTCCTCCCCTTCGAAGCCCCGCCCTTCTTTGAGTCGCTTCCCCTTCGAAGCCCCGCCCTTTCCTGAGTCTCCACCCCTTCGAAGCCCCGCCCTTCCCTGAGTCTCCTCCCCTTTGAAGCCCCGCCCTCCCCGAGTCCCCTCTCCTTCGAAGCTCCTCCCTTCCCTTGGAAACCCCGCCCTTCCCTGTGTCTCCTCCCCTTTTAAGCCCCTCCCTTTCCTGAGTCTCCACCCCTTCGAAGCCCCCCTTTCTTGAGTCTTCTCCCCTTCCAAGCCCCGCCCTCCCAGAGTTTCCTCCCCTTCGAAGCCCCTCCCGTCCCGTGGAAGCCCCGCCCTTCCCTGAGTCTCCTCCCTTCCCAGTGTCTCCTCCCCTTTGAAGCCCCGCCCTCCCCGGAGTCGCCTCCTCTTTGAAGCCCCGCCCCCACGTGTCTCCGCCCCTTGGAAGCCCCGCCCTTCCCTGGCTCCTCCCCTTTAAGCTCCTCCCTTCCCTGAATCTCCTCCCCTTCGAAGCCCCGCCCTTCCCTGAGTCTCCGCCCCTTCTGAGACCTTCCCTCTCAGCCTCTGCCCCCCAGCCTCTCCTCCCCCTTCGGAGCCCCTCCTCCTCCAAGTCCCCTCCTCTTCTGAGCGCTCCTCTCTGCGTCTCCGCCCCTCTGCGTTCCCTCCCTCTCTTTGAGCCCCGCCCCTCTCGGAGTCCCCGCCCCTCCCTAGGCTCCTCCCCCTCCAGGGGCGCCCTTCCCTCTGAGCCCCGCCCCCTTCCGAGCCCTCCCTTCTCCGGGTCCCCTCTCCGATCCCCGCTCCGTTCTCGCGCTCCTCCCTCCCCACACTGGGCCAACCTGGGAGGACTCCCTTGCCTGCAGGGGCCCAGCCTAAGGCCCCGAAGCCTGATGGGTCTCGGGGCCCTGGACAGACCCCTAACGATCCCCTGCCCGGGGCCCTGGACAGACCCCTGACGATCCCCTGCCCACGCCTAGATCCCGGCCAAGGAGCTGAAACTGGGCAAGACAAAAAAGTTCGTGACCGTCCAGGCGGTCTTCGGGAATAACAACCCGGTGGAGAAGGTGGTGCTGGTCAGCCACCGGAGCGGCTACCTCTTCATCCAGACGGACAAGACCATCTACACCCCAGGCTCCACGGGTGAGGGGCCGCGGGCGGCCGGGGGGCGGGCAGCGCGGGCCGGCCCGGGGCTCACCGGCCTCCCTGCCTCTCCCACCCCTCCCAGTTCTCTACCGGATCTTCACCGTGGACCACAAGCTGCTGCCCGTGGGCCGGACGGTCATGGTCACCGTGGAGGTACCGGCCAGCAGAGGCCCCGGGGTCAGAGGGGCAGAGCCTCGGGGAGGGGCGACGAGGTAGAGAGACAGAGAGACAGCAGCAGAGACCTGGAGGCAGAGGGGGACAGGGGAGTCCCGGGGAGACAGGTACGTGCCAGTGGATTCTGGCTTCAGATAAAGCCCGGGGCATTTCACCTGAGCCTGTCTCCTCATCTGAAGAATGGGATGACAGTTCATCATTCCACGAAGACTATTCTTTTTTTTTTGGAGTTTGATTTTTTGTAGAGACAAGTTGCCCACACTGGTCTCGAACCCCTGAGCTCAGGCCATCCTCTCGCCTCGGCCTCTCGAAGTGCTGGGATGACCGGCCTAAACCACCGCGCCCGACCCCCATGAAGTCTATTCTACCTGCAGCCGCCAGAGGGTGCCCGTGAGCACCGGAGTCAGGTCTTGTCCCTGGGGTCCACAGACCTCCATGGCTGCCACCTCCCTCGGAGTCTAAGCCCGAGTCCCCCTCGCAGTCACAGCCCACGACCTGCCTCGTCCTCCTCCCGCCCTCCTCGGCCACTCTGCTCCCGTGACACAGGTCTCCTCGCTGTGCCACCCACGTGCCAGGCACTCCAGGCATGACCCTGCCTCGGGGCTTTGGCACAGGCTGTTCCCTCTTCTTAGAAAACTCGGTTCTTCCAAATGTCCACATAGCTTGCTTTCTTGCTTCCTTCAAGTCTTTACTTAAATGTCACGGGTGTCTCAATTGTACAGTGAAGTCTCCCTGAGCACTGCATAAAGTTGCAAATCCCCACCCCCACCCCAGACACCAT